GGGCGCGAGGGCGAGGAGTCGGGCCAGAGCCCCCCGGGCATGCCGGCAGTGAGCGAGGCCTTGCGGCGGTTGGCCTCCTGCACCAGGCTGCACGGCCCCACCCCGCACAGCCTCGCCTCCCCCCTCGCTGCCCCCGCCCCCTGCATCTCCTGAATCACTGCCTGTAGGAGGGGGGGATGGGGAGGTGAAGGCCGGAGAGGAGGGAGGGGAAGGTGAGGGCATGCAGGGAGGTGATGGACGAGCACTGTTGAAAGTGACGGTAAGATGGAACGAGGCAGGGCACGGTGTAGAGTGGTGTGCAGCAGGTGCGGTGCAGAAAAGCGGAGGCGCGGGGGGGGTGTGACCTCGCGGGCCTTGACTCGTGGGTCGGACTCCGAGGGCGCTGACGGCCACACCGCTGGCGCTGGCCACGCACTCAGCCCCAATGCCGCCCTGCCACCCACAAGAGGGGGGGGTGGGGGGAAGAGGGGGGGGGGGGAGAGGGGGGGAAAGAGGGTAGAGATAAGGTTGGGTTGGCATGAGTGAGGGAGGATGCATGCAGCAGTGGGGGCAGAGATGCAGAGAGGGAAGGCTTTGCACACAGCTGACCAGCATGCATGCCCGGGGCCTATGCTGGCCCCGCATGTATGCACATGTGAGGCTGTGGCTGCTGTGCCGCAGACACTCTGCGTGCATGTGCATGCTCATGTGTGCCGGGTCTGCCCCTGTTAGGTTCGCAGTGTTTCCTTTGGTTCATTCATTCAAATAGAAAAGTGCAGGGGCGAGAGTGAGAGAGAGAGGGGCGAGGCGGTGAGGGCGCACATGTTGCAGGGCGTGACACGGATGGACTTGCCAAAGCCCACGAGGTCGCCCAGGCGCATCAACTGCCACACACAGCACGGCGTGGGGGAGACACACAGCAGGGGGGCAAGGCACACGTGAGCAAGGCGTGCGGCAGAGTTAGGGGCACATGCGTGCAGATACAGAGGGGAGGCGGGAGCGGTGTGGGAGGGAGGGTCAACATGAATGAACCAACTGAGCGTAGGAGTATGGGGGAAAAAGTAAGAACAGGGCAAACGAAACCCCATGCGGCATTGACAGAGGCATGGGGGAAGCGGGCGTGGGGTGGAAGAAATGAGTGCGCAGTCGGTGTCGTGAAGATGGTGCAATGGTGCAGGCAGGGCGAGGGGGAGGTGGGGGGCGGGGAGTGGAGGAGAGGCGGCGTGCCTTGGAGCGGGCGAGGGAGATGAGGTCGCCCTGCAGGCGGAAGAAGTCCTTCTCCGTGTAGTGCCCTGGGGACCGCGGGGCAAAGCGCTCCGCACACACCGTCGTCACCAGCGTGCATGCCGACAGCACCCACACCTCCCTCATGCAGAACGGCAACTCTCGCTGCCCGGGACAAGCGGGGGAGGGGGGAGAGAGGGGTTGATGCGCATGTACACACGCAGCGACTGTGAGGGGGGGAAGTGGCTTCGGGCAAGGAAAAAAAAAAGCGGTTGTGCTGGTGCGAGGGGTGAGAGTGCGAGGTAGTGTAGGGTGATGGACGGTGTATGGTTGGTCAGTGCAGGGGGAGGCATGCAGCACCTGGCGGGCAGCGAGCTCCTTGGAGAAGTCGAGGATGAACGCGTACGCCCTGTCCGCCACCACTGCTGGCCGCCCCATGGCGAACAGCAGCTGCGGGGGGCGTGATGGGGTTGGGGGGAACGAGTGGGAAGGTGTCGCAAGGCACAAGTGTGTGCTGCGAGTGCGAACGAAAAGGATGAGGCTGAAATGCTGGCGCGCGGTGGTGCATGTGGCGTGATATGGGGCCAGAAGGGAGTGCAGTGGGGTTGGCGTGGAGTGGAAGGGCGGAGCATACAGCGGCGCGGCGGGCAAAGAGGTACTGGCGGAAGTCGAACTGCTTGATGGTCTCCTCGTGGGCAAACATCTTCATGGGCTTGCGCCCTGCGTCCAGCAGCGCCGCCCGCTCATCCCCCACGTCCAACCCCCCAAACTCCCGCACCTTGCTGTCCGCCCGCCGCACTGCACCGCACCGCACCACACACACCACACCATACAGCACGCACACACGTCAGGGCACGGGAGCGCATGGAAGAGATATTGCAAGGTGGTGGGTTGGTTGGGCTGTGGTGTGTGTAAGCAAGGCATGGTGGTGTGGTGCAATTAGTATGGCTAGGTGCGAGGTGGCATGGGGTGGGGGGACAGCGTGTGTGTGGGGGGCGCGGACCTGTGTCGAGGTAGACCTGCTCCATCTCGTCATAGTCCCTCAACGCATCGTCCCTCAACTGCGCCATCTCCGCCATCAGCGCCAAACTCTCCTGCCATCATCACACGCACACACACAGGTGGGGGAAGGGAAGACGAGGGAGGGAAGATGAGGATGAGAGAGGAAGATGGGGGCAAGAGAAAGCAACACTTGGAAATGTGGAGAAGCAAGAACCGCTTCTATCCATAATGCACTGCCTGCTCCCAAGGTTGCAACAGGGCAACTGTGGAGGCAGCACCCAGCATGGGGGCAGCATGGGGCAGGCAGGGGCGCACCTTATCAGTGTAGTAGGCGCAGAAGTTAAAGGAGGGCGAGAGGCGCTGGTCGAGCAGGCGGCGCACGGCCTCAGAGTAGTGCAGCGTGCGCGCGTCCACACTGGCTCGGATGCACTCCACCACCTTGCCCTCCACCTCCATGTAGTTGGGCTCCGCTGCACTCAGATCCAGCCGCACACACCTGCTCCCACGCTCGCCCCCACCACCCCCATGCACCCGGGGGAAGGGGGAGGGGGAGGAAATGAGCATGGGAGTGGGATTTAAGGAGGCGTGCAAGGGTGCAGAGAAGACTCAAGCTGCCAGGGCGAAGCAGGGAGCAGGACTGTGCAGAGAGGGGCATCAGTGAGGGGCATGCAGCGAGGGGGCAGGAGGGGAGGGGCACCTGTCGCGGCGGAAGTGGTCTTCAATGCGCGCAAACACCTTGCGCGCCTGCTTGCCCGCGGGGTCGTTGGGCCCTGCGCGCATCACGTGCACGATCAGCCACTCGCCCTGCTCCGCCTTCACCAGCGCCTGCAGCCGCGCGCGCAGACTCACCCGGTACTCGTCCGGATCCTGGCGCGCGGGGCACGGGAAGTGGGCGAGGGGAAGAAGGGGGGTGGGGGAGGGTAGTGCGGAGGAGCAGGAGGTGGAGGGCAGTGCGGTGTGGGTGGGGCGCGCAGGACGAGGATGCGCGTGGTGAGAGTGAGAACGATGGAGTGGGGGGGCGTTGAATGAAGGTGTGAAGGCAACACACGTGAGCACGGCGAGAGATGCCTCATGGACCAGCACGCTGCATGGCAACCCGCGTTGACGACGCGGGGCACAACGGGTGCGTGTTGGGCGGGGACGACGCAGAAGGAGGGGCGAGAGAGAGAGAGCAGGGGCGGGGGCCGGGGGAGCGGGGGGCGTACATGGCAGGCGAGGAGGACGAGCGTGGCGAAGGGGTGGCGGAACCAGTGCGGGTTGTTCTTGACGGGCGGGCGGCTGCGCAGCTTGGGCTCGGACGTCAGCACGTACTCCAGCGGCAGCCGGTCCAGGTCCACTGCCTTGCGCGCGCGGTTGTGCAGCTGTAGCTTCTTCAGCGGTAGGCGCGACTCGAAGCTCTGGCGCACCGACGGCCACACGTTCCACTCGTCCTCGACTGCCGCGCCACAGTGGCGGGGGAGGGGCGGAGGGTGGGGTGGGGGGAGGCGCAAGGGGGTTGGGGGTGAGATCACAGGATGTCATCGAGTGGAACGGCGGGGTGGGGTCGAGGTAGACGCGGGGAAAAGGCATGGAGCAGGGATGCGCGCGGGATGGACACGAGGCGGAAGCAGGAGAATGGGCGGAAGCAGCAGAAGTGGGTGAGCAGGGCAGTCGCCGCAATGCCCGCGACGAGCGGTGTTCGCCCCGTTGCTAGCGCGCGGCGGCACAAGGTGAGTCGCCTCGCCGCATGCGACGCATGTCGTGGACTAGCAAGAGGAAGGCGCGAGCGTGCGGAGCAGGAGGGGCGTGCGATGATCACTTGCGACGATGATCTTCTCGCCCGACTCCATCGACAGCGCCGACGACTGGTCCTCCGCGTGCGACGCCATGGCCGCCGCGTGGTGGTGACACTACGCCTCGGTAAATGCAGCCCGAAATAGCTAGCTAGAAGGGATCGCCGAAGCGCGCAGCGACATAGCTAATAGGTCCGACGTGCTTTTTCTGGCAATGATGCGAGCAACGACTCACCAACAGCAATCCTGGTCTCGCTACAGCATGCTCTGTTGCTGATCGCAGTAACAGTGCGAGGGGTTATGCCAATAACCGAATTGAAACACGAACCCATCCGTTGCAGTGTGCCTCACTGTAAGGTGTTAATTGCATAACGTACTAACCTTTATCGTTTTCCCTGCTGTTGTTTCATCATGTGTAGGCTACATTAGCAACAAACCGAGATCCGCTAGCACTTTATTTTACATGGTGCGAAAAACGTTACAGCATATCTTCCTATCAGCAAGAGCTGTGGACAGGCAGCCATGGAATCTGATATGCAAGCATGTGAGGAGAATTGACAGGCATTGCCCACTGTGAGTATGGACAGCGCGGGTTGCCCCATGCCAACTCAAAACACATATTGTACCACCGCCACATCACAGTAGTTAGCAATGATGCTACCTCATTGGCGTTTGGCCGATGCAAGTAATCAACAGGGATGGGCTTCTCAGGGTTTAGAGTGTCATGCTGCTACCTCTCACCCGCAACACTTGCCACTCGAGCCTTTCAGGGTCTTGCGTGTTAGCGTCCAGCTCGCACCATCTTCTTGCTATACGGCCTCTAACGCCACCGCCACACTGCCCACTCATCCTGCTCCCCTTGTCTCTACCAGCTCTCCCAGCGGCCTCCCCTCCATCCTAGGTCTTGAACCACCCCGCACACCGCACTATCCTCCCATAAGCCCTAACCCCGCTCATCTCCAGGTGTCCTTTCATCCCCTGCGCATTTTTTGCGATCCACTACAGACCCTCGCTTTCCCTGTCTTATCTTTCCTCGCCCTCCTCCGTCGCCACGTCAGCAGCCGCCATGGCCAGAAAGTCCTCTGCCGCCTGTCGCACGCTCTTCACCTTCTTCCCCGCCCTCTCCGCCTCGCCCCCACCCACACCTCCCTCCTCCCCCTCTCCCCCCGTCCCTTCCCCGCCACCATCCCCTCCGCGCGGCCGTCGTTTCTTCCCTGCTTCGCGCACCAGCCGCCGTTGCTCGGGTGTCAGGTCCGGGATCGCGTGCACGATGAACCGGTTCGCCGCCGCTACGTTCAGCGACGACGTCGGCGCGCCCACCGCGCCGTCGCCGGCGCCGCCGGCGGTGTCGGCGAGGCGCACCTTGTGGACGTAGGAGTCGATGCGCGCCATGTCCTTCGCGACGCCGTGCTCGCTGGGCGCCATCCCGTACGACCGCAGCACGAGGCAGAACAGCGACGCCGCCGCGTGCGCCGTCACCAGATGCGTCTTGGCGCGGTCCATGGGCGCGAGGTCCGCCGCGAGCGCGCGCGACGAGCAGCGGTCGACGATGGGCGTTAGGCTCGTCTCCAGCTGCGACACCGCCGCCTCCGCCGCACCCAGCGCGTCGAGGGCTTGGCGGGAGAGAAGAGTGGAGGAGACGTCGGAAGGCGACGCCATGGCTTTTGGCTTCAAAGAAGACGGGATGGGGATGGCAACTGTTGGGCACTGGTGGTGTCGAGGCAGCACGTTGTACCACTCGCACTTGCAGCAGCAAGGTTTGGAATGATTTGTACCTGTTAGTAATAAAACCGTTGCACTATAGTCCTTTTCTTGGACAAACTAGATGCGTTGAACACAAGATCATGTATTCGTAATTTCTCGATTTGAGCCAGATTTGTTAATATGTTATTGCTCCAAAAACCACACCACAAAAGAAACCGCCTAGCCCTTTTGAGACACAAACAAGGTCTAGGCATGAAAACAAGCGGGGTACAGAGGGGGGGGGAAGAGGGAAAGAGGGCAGGGAGGGGGTTACACACATGCACACACACGCTGAAAATTGGAACACATATCTCCTGCTTCATCTGTCAGAGCCGGCAAGCTTCATCTACCATAGGCTGCCACAGTGGCTGTCACCCGCGGCCTTCAAAGATGTCCGGTCGGTGCGCTGCAGCATGCGCACCGCGCTGGCGCTGGCGCTGGGAGCGAGGGGAGGTGGACGAGGCAGACGGCGTGGCGGGGGCAGTGGAGGCGGGCGGGTTGGAGGCGGGGTTGGTGGCAGGGAAGGCGTCACATGGCGGTACCACAGCCTCTCGAGACACCACCACCGATGGCACCATCACTCCACTCCCACCGCCGCTCTTGCTCCCTGCGCTGCCACCCATGCCCTGCCCCACACCACCTTCTCCGCTGCCCTTGTCCACTCCCGCAGCCCCACCCACTCTCTGAGTGGCAGCAGCTGCAGCAGCAGCAGCGGCGGCAGCGACAGCAGCGGCGGCGGCAGGAGAGACATCCGAGAGGCGCGGGGGACTGGGGTTGGTCTTTGTAGTGGCTGCAGACAGGGCAGCAGCAGGGGCAGCTGCAGCGACCGGCTTAGAGGCAGAGGCGGCAGACAGAGAGTGTTGCTTGCTATGCTGCTTCTTGTGGTGGCGCTGCTGCTGCTTGCGGCTGTGCGCCAGTGGCAGGTGGTTGCGTGCAGCGAGAGTGATGCCCACGCCCACGCACACTCCCACTGTCACCATCGCCACCTGTGCGCCCACACCCCCTCCTCTCCCCAGCACCATGCGGAACCCGCCCCAGATGGCCCCTGCGGCGCGCTGGCAGGACGGCAGCAGCACGCGCTGTACCAGAGACCCCAGCAGCGCCGTGGGGCCGGGAGGGGTCGCGGAGGGGCGAGAGGGCGCAGCCATGGCGGCGGCAGCAGACCTGCCTGGCCTGCCTGCTGCTGTTGACATGTATGGGCTTGTGTTGCTCGTCAGCCCACTGCTCCTGCCACCACCACCAGCAGCAGCGGCCGCACTGCAGCACATGCAAGCGGTGCTGCTGTCATCCCCGTGCGTGCCCTGCCAGCTCACCGACCCGCCTCCTCTCACCCCAGTTACCTCACTCCCCCACGACTGCTCCTCCCTCTCACTGCCACTCGCATCACCCCGCATGCACCCCGCACACGTGCCCCCGTGCCCAGTCCCCTCCGACCACCACCCCTCCTCTCCGCTCACCATGGAGCGCACCTGCCTCCCGGCATCCCCTCCGTCGCTGCCCTGCTGCATGTGCGCCAGTTTACCTCCGCGCGCCTGCCCCGGGCGCGTGGCGCCCTTGCCGTGCGCCTGGTCCACCTCGCCGTCGTCGTGCGCGGGCGACGACGTGGACGAGGCGGTGCCGAACTGCGCGCCGAGCAGCCGCGACGACGACATGCTCGACGACGAGTCCGCCGGCCCGTGCTGCGACTGCTGCCCGCGCCGCTGCTGCTGCTGCTGCTGCTGCTGCACCGGAATTTGATGCTGAGAGTGCGCGCGTGCCTCCGCGCGCCTGCCCTGCTGCTGCTGCGCCACCGCTTTGGCCTGCGGGGTCGTCTGCTGTTGCGGCGGGTCGTGCGCGGGGCGGCGGGGCGCAGGCAGTGGAGTGGCGAGGGAGGCGGGCGGGTGGTTCTGCAGCTGCTGGTGGTGGAACGTGTGGTACAGCGGCGGCAGGGGCCCGGGCGCCGTGGGGTGCGTGTACGGCGGCAGACTGAGGTCCGTGCGCGGCGCTGACGTGTCGCCGATGAAGCCCAGAAGCTCTTGAACCACCTGCTTGCGGTCACCCCGCGGGGGGAGAAGGGGAAGAGGGGGGGAAGGCGGAGAGATGGGGAAGGGAGATCAGCGCTGCGCTGACTATGATGCAAAGCACAGCCCAGAGAAGCGGATGACGTGCCGCATGCGCCTCCCCCGATGCTCGCAACAGCACTCACGCCACTCCCGCCGCATCCCCGCGTGACCTTGCTTGCGTCTCGCCGCACACACCCAACTCTCCCCTCACCTGCCACTCGCGGCCCTGGTGCGCCAGCAGGTGTTGCAGCAGCTCCTGCCGCTTCGCCTCCACCGCCATCAGCGCCAACTCGCGCTCCGCCGGACTCACGTCCTGCTCCGGACGACGCGGAGAAAAGGGAACGTTGAGAGGCCATGTGAGGGACGCGCATTGGGCACGGCGAGGGACCGTGGGAGAGAAGAAACGCTGGCCGCGACGAGATGCGCGAGAGAGGAGGCGGAAGGCGAGGCGGAAAGATGGACTCTGAGTTTTAAAGCGCGCGACACGGAGCGGAAAGGGAGGGCGTACCTGCAGCGATTCCAGGTGCGCCTCGAGCTCCTCCAGCGCGTTGCGCACGGCGACGAGGCTCCGCGCCTCCGCGTTCTTCTCCAGCGCCAGCCCCTCGTGGCGCAGCGACGCGCCGTCATGGCGGAGATCCCCGCCGATGGCGCTCATGGGCTGCGGGCCGTCCTCCACCTCCAGTAACGGCGCGTCGCTGCACCACGCAGTACACAGCCCACCGAATCGCACACAGTTGCATCATTATCGCACATGCTCATGTATCGTCCATGTATCGTTCAAACGCTCAATCGCATGCACGCAGGACGCAGCTGCATAGACTGCACGCTCCCACGTCCAAATCTCGGGACCAGTGAGGGAATGTCAGAAGCGACTGAAAGAGGAGACAAAGAGGCGACAGTGACATGACAGCATCGTGAAAAGGGCACGAGCGACAGGAGGAATGCTGCACGCTGCAGTGCCCCATCATTGTCGCCATAGGGCGTGCAGGGGCGATGACGATCGAATATGGCGTTGGGACGTAAGAAATGGAGGCGTGAGGGCGTCAGACGAGCGAGAGCATGCAAAGGAAGCAGTGTATCGGAGCGAGCAGCGCGAGACATGTGGAAGGCACCGTTACCTGCGCCGGTTATTGGCGGAGTAAAAGTCATCGCGAATAGCTCGCTCGATAGCGTTGGTTATTCCTCCATGCAGCTCCGATACGCGCTGCATGACACGCGATAAGTCACTTGATCTCGCACTTCCACCAGCCATGGTGGTTCACACTAATTCTGCCTTGCAATGCGCTGTCCTGTGGACCTCTATCGCTAGCTTCACTACAGCTTCAGATGGAACTGCTTGGGGGAGCGAAGTACAGGTGAGCTCGCGGGGGAAGCGCAGAACCTCTCGGATCCGCCATCCAGCAGTGTGGCGCTGGGGGTTGGGGGTCAAGTTGGTTTTGGCGCTCACACGACGGGCAGATCTTCCATCCAAACCAGCATTTGTGCGCTCCTGGTGAAAAACAACCGCACCTGTTACCCTCCTTGGTACGGCAGTGTTGCGAAACCCAGGAAAGCTCTGGCGATGGTTCACGAACGCATGAGCCTCATCAACCAGGGCAGGTGCTTTCGAATATTTTTTTTGGGCAGAATGGTGTTGCCCTGGGCTCGTTGCTCGGAACATCAGCAGTCGACGAAACCTGCGGGGCAAATCTGACAAGGTTGAGGGCGGGAAGAGTTTTTGAACGGGTGTGAATCGCTCGTTGATGGATTTGAATACGAAACAAAAGTGTATGATGGGCCGACACGGGTGAGGGCGGGAAGGGAAGAAAACCGTACTCTGTCCTTGCTCTGTGCTGGTGCTGGGCCGGTTTGCCCTTCCCCTCCATCTGTGCCTTCGTTGAGTTTTGGAGCTCTCTTTGGATCAGTCCTTGGTTGATTGAGCTCACAGCTGCTTTGTGTGGGATAAGCTAGTCCAGCAACTTTGATACAAGAGTTGAGAAACCAAACACAGAGAGCTGATTGATTATTCTCACAAATTAACCAATCCTTAAACAGCCACGTTCAACAATACATTTCGACAAACTAGAAAATTGGGCAGGAGAGGAATGCTTCCGTAATCCTTTGCTGTATTCTGTACAATTAGGGAACAATAAGCTAACGTCAGCAGTCAGATTATAGTTCAGCTTTATGCCTAAGGTGAGTTAAGAGTTATGAAGTTAGTAGTATGCTACGGTAGGTATAAGTTGCTATTGTGAAGGCTTTCTGGTCACCACCACTCCTTGCACAACGAGATGGGTTGTCAGGAAAGCAGGGACCAGTTGTGATGTCACCAAAACGCCTCCCTCACTTCCACTGCTGCCACCTCCATTCTTCGCACTGTTTGTCAGCCCGCTCCTTACGGCACTTTCTGATGCTGTGCCAAAAATGCTGAACCCCGCAGTTGCACCTGCACTAGGTTCACCTGGTGGACCAGTCGGTTCTGTCCAAGTATAGGGTCGCATCAAAGCTGGATCAAATGGGACGTTGGGGGGGATGCGGGAGATGCGGAGAGGACAGCCAAAAGACCACGCGGCTTCGTGCAGGCCGAGCACAGCGCGACACAAGCTGACGAAGTCTGACGACGCCGCAGCGAATTCGTCTCCTTCATCGCCCAGTAGCGCTGTGGACATGCGCTCGTCTGTCAGCTCGCGTCCCCCCGCCAGCGCCGCTGCCTGCAGCCATTCGCCCAGCTCCTCCAGGCGTCGCGAGCAGAAGTGGGCGAACTTGGCTTCGCGGTTGGCGTCGAAGCTGCCTCTGAGCGCGCGGTCCTTTTCCTTGAGCGCCAAGAACTTGGAGAGCTTCATGGCGCAGCGCTCGTCGTTGCTGAGCAGGCGGCTGAAACCCGCGCGCACGAAGTCCTCCGCCTCGAAGTCCGTGAAGAGCACGCAGCTCGCGATGTTCAGCACGCAGTCCAGCAGCGACGCGCACTCGCTGCGATGCCGCCCCCGCCGCCGACTATGCTGGTAGTTGTGGCAGCTCTCCGCGTCGCTACCCGCCCCACTGCCATCGTCCGCGTGGTGCGCCGCTTTTCCTCCCACCATCTCCAGCACTAAATGATCAGTTCTATAACCCTGCCGTGAAAGGCGGCGGGACACGTTCCCGCAATAGGCCTCCATGCACTCCGCCACACGATGCACCTGCGACACGAACAGTTCCAACAGCCACGCCTCGTTCGCCTGCCGAGCCCCGTCCACGCAACGCCCTCCCGCGGTAAGCCGAACACCCTCTGGCAGATCTTTCCCCACGCTGCTGGACGACCATCCGAAGTCACACAACGAAACTAGGCTCATAGCACGGGTGGCAAGGGCTGCCGGAGGCGCGTCTACGCTGCTGAGGCCGGCAGCGGCGTCGTCCATGCACGACACCTGCAGCTGCACGAGGGAGTCCGTCAGGCGACGCCGTGTGATGCATAGCTGCGACTGCACCCGCTCCAGCTCCCGGCTTAGCTCGTCCACCTGCTCCCGCAGTGCCTGGTTCTCTTCCCGCCGACTACCGCTACTGCTTCTACTGCTGCTGCTACACCGTCCGCTGGGCCTGCTGCTGTCATTGCTGCTGCCTCTGAAGCTTCCGCTGCTGCTGTTTTGCCCTGACGCCTTGCTCCTTCGTCTACTCCGTCTCCGGCTCCTGCCTCTGCTCCGCTGCTCCGCAACCACGATCCCATCGACGCCCTTAACCTCTCCGCTTCGCCCTTTCCGCCCCTCCCTCTCGTCACTGCTCGTGCATCTCTCCCGCACGTCTGCGTCCCGCACAGTCTCAGTAATGTCGCATCCGCAATGCGGGCACCGCACTGCTCCAGCTAATCCCACACGGTAAACCGCATCGGAGTCTAACGTAGGATTCATTCTATCTATCGCTAGTGCTGCCGCTGCTGCTCGAGCAGCTAGCTTCTTGGAGAACATCGCTTGGTCCTTAATCTGGGCTGTGTGCGCTCCGCCGCCGGGCAGCTCCCCATCGCCATCCTCTCTGAGTGTGCCCACAAGTCCCTCCCATTGGCTGTTCACTGCCTGAAGCTCCTCCGCATGGCGCGTCACTATCTGGTTCAAAGTCTCTCTTAGCGCTTGTATCTCTAGCTCCTTCTCCTCCCGCTGCTCTACTAGTATCCGTTGTAAGTACGCTACTTCGCCTTCTAGCTTGGATCTAATGGGCTTCGAGTCCATCGTGGCCATGCCGCCCCGTTGCATGGCCTTAACGCCTTGTGTGCGGGAGAACGTAGTTTGATCCTATAAGCATTGGTTTGCCTCCGCGCATAGGCCGCGACGGTACTAGTGAAAAGCGGTCTACTACTAGAACGTTATCCTAAAGTAGCTGAGCTGTTGCAGCACGCCTGTTGCAACGAAGGCACGGCTACCATGGGCCGAACACAAACGCCAGAATGTAGTGAAGCCAGTGATGTTATTGAGGCATCAGCTCGTCAAGAAGTTCCTTGGCGCCAAATCTGGTGAGTTGCAAAAGGTGTGTGAGACGCCATTGGTCTGGTAGGAGTGGTTGGGGGGTCTGGAGTGGATAGAGGGTTGTCTCGTGTCAACTGCTCTCTTCAGTTTCGACTTGAGAGACACAGCTGATGTGACGCACACGACATTGGAGGGAATCAAGTCAGGCAGCCGAGTCGCTCACTGTTTCAGTGAGCAGCGCGCTCCGCAATGAATTTCCCACCCACCCGCGATGTTTCTGTACTCGATAGGAGGGTAAGCGATATCAACCTATAAATAGAACCATCCACGGCCTTCGTCGTGCAGGCAATCTTGGCGACATCTGTGTTTGCGACAGACGGATAGCTCAACGGCCTCTGGCAGTGCGTATCGCACTCTGACAGCTCAGCACATTGGGCTCTCCAGGGCGTCCCCGCCGCGCTGGGGGGACCGCTGGGGGACGAGCAATCTCCACAAAGGTGCGTGCAAAGCCCAGGGTAACCTTCGGTGTGACCAGTAGCCCACTTCGCGAAAGCATAGAAGTTGTGTAACCCTTCGCTGAACACGAATTTGGCTGGGGTTGGGCACACATGACAGGACGTTTCTGTGTTTCCCAACGACAGCCGAAACAGAGGGGATTGTTACGGATTCTCTTTTGGCTCTGTGAGGCCCACCCTGGAACTAAAAACAATGCAATTGTCATTTACCTATACTACCCTTTTTGGCCCAACGTCCAATGCATTCGTTTCAAAACCTTTGCCCACGTAATTCAAGGGGCACTTCTCATCATATTGCCCAGCTCATACGTCCGCGCCACCTTCTTCCCTGCTTTCTTGGGCTTGAGGTAGAAGCCTCGAGACAGATCACAAATGAGGTGAACATACTGAGAATGGCCTCCACAATCTAGATTCGCTTATCATCGTCGAGGCGAATCCACATCTCCCAGGCTGCAAGGATAAGCAACGTAGCTTGTATAGAACGTTCAGCGTACAAAATCCTGCGTTTATTAGGAACCGAAGAGTCTCGTTCTGCATTCAGAACTCGTTGCGGCTCAGACAATGGGCTTTACTAGCACATTATAGGTTTTCTGATCTCCGGCCATCGAATCCGTCGCTCGGCAGTGGTGACTTCCTCACATTCGCAAGCATACTCCAATCTGCTCATCTTCAAGAACCCTGCACATGGCCTCGTTTTCTGCAGGGTGGCAGAGTTACAACTTCAAAGCAGGTCTCCGCAGCAGATTCGCCCGCGCGCTCGCTCAAAAGGATTTCAGCAAAGTGTCGAGACCACCAGTGAATGCTGTTCGTCCGAATGCCTCGTTTTCTGAAGGCGTCGCGACTAAAGATGTGAGGATCAACGACAACACCGGTCTGAGCGTTCGAATATTTCTGCCAGCTTGCGCCATTCAACCAGGCAAAATAAATGAATTCGGGTGGATGATGCGTCGCATGGGTACAGCGAGCGAGTGGTTTCCACCGCCCGGCGACGCCAACGAGCAGTTCTGGCAGGGTGCCAACGGCGACGCCGCCGGGGCGGGCAACGGAAACGGAGCGGCGGACGAGGAGCAGGAGGGTGCAGCGGGCAGCGGCGGGCCGTACACTGGGTACGTGCCGAATCCGACGGGCACGAACCACCAACTGCCGGTGATCGTGCAATTCCACGAGGGCGCGTTCGTGACCGGCAGCAAGGACTCCGCCTGCAACGACACCTTCTGCCGACGACTCGCACGGGTACCGCCTTCCGCCCTCACTGCTTCCTCGCTCCTCCGTGACTGTCATTGCTGCACATGAAGGCCAGTGCGTGTGCCGCTGCCTAGATTCGGGGTAGCGCGTGCTGAGCGGAGGCCACGGGATCTGTCCGTACGCGCGAGCGAACAGACATGCCTCACGACCTAACCACGCGAATTCAAGTTTCTCATTTTCCACCCTGATCGTCTCAGTCCATGCCGTAGCCCGGATCCCTCATCGTGCATCTCATTCGCTTCAAATCTCATGTTCCGTTTCCCCCCAATCCTCTGGCCTCGCCTCTCCGCGCGGCGGGCGCGTGCGCGCGCAGGTGTGCAACGCGATCGTGGTGGCGGTGGGGTACCGGCTAGCGCCAGAGCACAAGTGTCCGGCGGCGTACGACGATGGGTACGAGGTGCTCAAGTGGCTGTCGCGACAGGCCATCCTCGCTGACGCCGAGGCCGACGTGCGCTCCTCGCACGCGCAGGTGACCGGGGGAAGGGGTGAGAGCGTGGGTGTGTGCATGGAACGTGTGGCGCGAGTCTGAAAGCCGAGGGAGGTCGATGAGAGGAAGTGGGAAGTGGCAGCTTCGGCTCACGTCAAATGCCATGACATTGTCTTCACTCCTTCCCTTTTTTTTGAGAGGTATCCATCTCACTTCGCCGCCACCCCGCCCCCGTTTGTCCTCTCCCTCCCTCATGCGCGGTTGTTGACTGCCTCATGTGGGTGCACGCATGCGCGTGTGGGTGGGGGAATGTTGGGGTGTGTGCCTGCATTGTGCTCCGGCACGCCTCTCCGTGTGTGTGTGTGTGTGCGTGCGCACGTGTGTGCAGCAGGGCGGGGAAGTGGGAGCGGGCGATGAGATGAGGGGGTTGACAACGCGGCTGGTGCAGGAGCTACCAGACCCGTGGCTCGCCGCACACGCTGATGTGCACAGGTGCGCGCCAGCATGTGCATCGACCCACCAAGCGACTCATTTCATCCGTTCTCGTGTAACCTCTCGTTTTCTCCTCAACACCACGCACACCTCTCGTTCAACGCCCGTTATTCGCCACCACATATGGATCATGCATGGCCTCGCGTCATTGCTCAGCTTCTTGTGCCTTCCACCCGTCTGCCCCCTCCTCAGGTGCATTCTCCTGGGTGTGAGTGCGGGTGCCAACGTGGCAGACCAGGTGGCACGGCGCTGCGTCACACCGCACGGGGTGAACGAGCTGCAGCCACTCGTGGTGCTCGGGCAGGTAGGAGGACCAGTGTGTGCACAGGCCAGGGACAGATGGGCTTGGTAACGCAGGCACACTCTGGGCGGATGCTGTTGCCTTCACCTCCTCCGTGCCACACTAATGTTACCATTTCCCCCCTGCCACCTGTCCCATGTGGCGCCATGCAGGTGCTGCTGTACCCTCTGTTTGCGGGGTCCATGCCGACGCCGAGTGAGATGAAGGCGCGAGACGCCTACTTCTTTGACAAGCCCACGTGCGAGCTCGTCTTCCGCCTCTTCCTGCCCGACGATGACTTCTCTCTGGACCACCCGGCGGTGAACCCGCTGCTGCGCGAGCACCTGCCTCCGGGCATGCCGCCGACGCTGCTGGTGGTGGCGGACCACGACATCCTCACCGACCGCGCCATCGCCTACTCCGTCTTCCTCAAAAACTTCGGCATCGACGTGCAGGTAGGCGCTGCTCCGCATGCACGGCACGGGAATGTTGTTGGGGTGGGAGAGGGGGGAAGAGGGGAGTGGGGAGGTGGGGGAAGAGGGGAAGACGAAGCGGGTGGTGGGTGTGGATGTAGGGGGGAGGGGTTGTGCGGGCATCTGCGGTGTGTGTGGCCTTGCAGCAGCATGTGGGCTGATGTTCTAGTGCAAAGCTGCTTGCTGGCCATGCTTGATTCCAGCATTCAATGGTGCCCGGTGCTGCTGCTGCGGTGTGCTGTACATGTGTGTGTGATGCAGGTGAACAGCTACAAGGACGTGGTGCATGGGTTTGCAACATACGAGGGCATGGTGAACACGCCACAGGCAGAGGCATGTGCAGAGGACATAGCGATGTGGATCACCAAGCACGTCTCCACGCGCTCCGATGCTACGGAGATGTCGTACTGAAACCACTCAGCCACACTGTACCATGCCTCCCTGCTCCACATCCCTGCATCCTTCTCAACTCATACCCTCCACCCCCTTCGCCTGCCCAGTGTCCTCCCAGTTCTCACCTACCCTGCAAGGCTGCATTTCTAATCTCTCCTGCTCCGCATGTTCCAATATGCACACCTACACTCACGCACTTAAGTCGTCCAACTGATTAGTATGTCAGCTTCTAGTGTTCGTCCAACTGAGTTGTGGGGCCCACCTGGTCCTGTACAGCAAGGGACACAGTGTTGCTGCCTTGTGGGCTGCCACGCCTGCACTTATACCGAAGTCGTTATGGTCATGCCATATGTGTTGTTTGTGTTCGCTCGGTCATGTGGAAAGATCAGAAGCATCACTCCTTGCTCTAGATCCCACAGGGCGTATCGTACTGACCGATGGAGCTTTATGAGCAAAGCAACTGATGGTGAAAGGGATTGTGCTAAATGATAATGTCCGTCCACCAATCATTTGGTAGTTTGAGAATGTAGGACAGCAGGGTTTTCACAAATGTGAGAGCGGTTAGGCCCATGTCTAGTTGATCAGGATGCTGAAAGATTATAGATACGTATAATATATAGCATCATAAGATTGTTACACATATTGAAATTGCTTGCGCTGACAAGTGTCGAGCAGAACGACCATACTTTGAGATGAGGTGCTCTGACGTGGTCGTATTTTTGCTGTCCACATGGCATCCTCAATCCACCTGGCCACTCTTGTTCGCTCCAAAAAAATTGCGTCGCGTGCACAAGATGTCGTTTCACCGTACGATGTCATCGCTACGTCAATCACTCCGACCATCACCGTCCATACCGCACCCCCAGATTGATGCTGCCGATCGAATCCAAGGTTGGAGGTGCTGCAGGTCTGCCCGCGCGCAGTGCAGCAGAGCACGCACGGCTCAGCAGCAGCACACGGGGTGCGTGCTCTCCCATCGCGTTGTCCTTGCTGCTTGCTTCTCCGCTCACGCCTCCTCACTCTGTCATCCGCATTTTATCGCGTGGCGGGAATGCGCAATCTGCTTCCGTCATCTATTCCGTCTCCACAATAGTCCACCGGGAGTGCGTCGACCACGCGAATGGCTGCTTCGACTATGCGATACCGTCTCTAAGTCGCGGGTCGTCTGAGTAACCCAAGGCGTCTCGCCGCACTTGGAGGTGTTTGAGCTCAAGTCTAAATGATTCAGCTGGGTCTATTTGAGGAGGCTACCTGCCGCATCCCGGTCGTCTCACCTGGTGCGCCAGCGCGCATACGCGGGGTCGCTGTAAATATTAGGATCCCGGCCTTCTCTCGTCTGTCGGCTTCGAGGCACGTCCTACAGAGTGGTTCCGCGGCGAGGTCGCCGTTTACGTGTCCACGGCATGGGTCGTCCGGGAGTTCTTGCTGCACACGGAAGTTAACAGCCAGGGCCTTCCACCGTTCTAAGGAGGAGGCGGAGGCTAGCTTTGAGGACAGCACGAGTCTGTTGGACGCAGCACTTAGCGGCGAGAAGCAAGCGGACCCATGTGACAGACCGTTGTCCGCCATTCCCCTTGACCGGACCGAGACCTCGCATAGAGCAGGGAACAGTAGTCACAGACCTATCGCCCGATTTCCCAGCCACGCACATACACTGTTTCCTGCCTTCTTTCCTCTCTTCCTTACTCCCCAGCTTAGGTCATCAGTAGCGTCCGCGGTCTCCCCCAGGACGGGAGCTATTACCAGCGATCAGGCCCCTTTGAACCAGTTGCATTCTGTGCCGCTCATTTTGGGATTCAAGGGCCTTGAGCCGGGTGACTCAACCAGGAGGACCGGAGAAGAGCCTTGCTCGTCGCCGAAGCTGGTTCCAGGTACTCCGGGCCCAGGCTTGTCCACGTGGACAGGAGCTGTGGGCCTTCTGTCCGTCTTATCTGGCCAGCTAACTGGGAACTTCTACCGTCTTATTGGCGCCAGTGCGTCCGTTTCCACGCCCACCGTCACCCGCTTGCCTCTCGCGCGCCCGTCGCCGCCCTCCAAGGTCAGGTTCATGGACACGGGAGCTTCTCCCCCCGCGACAGTCACGGCGGCCGATATTGGCGATGCGGACCGGCTACAGGAGTGGTTGGAGGCGCGGTTGCCGGGCGGCAAGGCGGTGCTGGAGCGGTGGGGCAGTGAGCGGGGCACGAAGCGCGTGGCGAATCTGTGGCAGGAGCTGGTGGACGGCGAGGTGTGCCTCGTGGACTCGCGCCCGCCGCTGCGCAAGGTGAGCGTGGCGAGCGTGCACGTGCGGCACGCGCGTACAGGCAAGGTGCTGCTGGAGGCGATGCAGGAGATGGGGGACGGAACGGTGCGCGCGAGGAACCGCCCGCTGTCGGAGAAGATGCGGCCCGCGGAGAACCCCCTGGACGCGTGCCGGCGCGGTATTCTCGAGGAGCTGGGCGAGGACCTCGGGGCGAGCCACCGCGTGTCGGTGCTGGCGGACACGCTGCGGCGGCAGGTGGAGGAGCGCGAGTCGTTCTCGTACCCCGGGCTGCGGTCGCAGTACGAGATTCACGTGGTGGAGGCCGTGGTGGAGGGCCTGCCGGAGGCGAGCTTCTGTACTGTGGAGAACGAGGGGCAGGCGAAGAGCAGCAGTAAGGTGCACCGGTGCGCCGCTGTCAGCGGCGAGGGGCCCTGCATGTGGGCTGGCAGTGACAGCGGCGAGCCTAGGCCCAGGCCGTGCGGGCGTGGGGCAGGAGCAGGTGCAGGGGGCATGAGCAAGGGGGCTGCAGGGCAGGGGGTGAATGGAGGGGCGTGTTCCAGTGAGGGCGAGGGGCTGGGCAGTGGAAGTGATGGTGAGCAGCGTGTGCTGGGCGTGAAGAGGCACTTCTGGGTGTGGACGGACAGAAAGTGACAGCCATGCCATGCCATGCCATGCCATGCCATGCCATGCCATGCCATGCCATGCCATGCCATGCCATGCCATGCATTGTGTACAGAGTTTTCCTTTCTTTCTAGGCTGGTCTTTGTAGTCCCTCTGCCTGATACTGCTTTGTTTTGCAGTACATTAATATGTACTGTAGCTGCCTCTGCTGAAAGTTGTATTTCCTGTGGATCCAAGTACGGTAAACCTGCTTCCTGCACAATTTTAGAGCCAGAGCAGAAGCTAGAAGAGAGGGCTTTGCACTACTGTAGAAACCATGTCACTAATTACACACAACTATCTGAAAATGAATGGGGCGGTAGGTACGGTATCATTTGACGTGGTGGTCAAGCAAGGCAGGTCCACATACCACCGCACACAGGGCAGCCCTGCGACCAGCGTGCAGGCCACCACTCAGAAGCCAGGCTGCTGCCTGCACTGCCTATTCCTGCTGCCCCGCCCCCCTCCCCAGCACCATTGCTCCCCGCCCCTGTTGTGCCTGCCTGTGCCTGCACGGACTGAGGCACTGCCATGGTGGTTGTCTGCCGCCCACACCGCACACACTGCCAGGGGCGAGCAAGGGAGAGGCACACAGGGATGCATGGCAACAGAAGGCCAGCAAGGTGGAGTAATGTGGGCAGATGAGGAGAGGGAGAGGTGTAAGGTCCAGCAGCAGGGAGCGGTGGTGTGCGGTGCAGGGGGCCCATGGCTCACCTTGTACCATTGTGCAGTACCGCCCCAGCGCCATGTGCTGGCCACCACGTCCCTGCGCCCGCCCTGCAGCCCCAGGAAGCCCCCCAGCCCCGCACTGCACGCCAGCCCCACCGCCGCATCCCTCTCCGCTGCCCGCCGCTTCCGCGGCCACACTCCCACTCGCCCTGCCCCCGCCCCGCCTGCCAGCAGCGACGCCTCCCTGCCCCACACGCCCCCCTCCATGCTCCTCCCCCTCATGCCCCGCCTCCTCCTCGCTCCCTCCGCCACCCTCCATGCCCTCGCCATTCTCCTCCTCCCCATTGCACCCCATACCTCTCTCCCCACCCGCTTCCTCGCCCGTCTGTCCTCTCTCCACCCATCCTCCCGCTCGCTCCCTGCCCTCTCGTCCCCACCCCCCTCGCCCGCAGCCCCCTGCACCCTCCTCCGCTTGCCATGTCTGCTGAACCCAGAGGGACTCGCTCCCCTCTTGCCGTGCGCCCCTGCACCATCCCCCTGCACCCTCCACTCTCCTCCCCTCCCCCTCCACCCCTCCTCCTCCTCATCCCCCTCTTCTCCCTCCTCCTCCTCCTCCTCCCCCTCCCACATGCCCTCCTCCCCCCCCCCCCCCCCTTCGTCCTCATCATCCTCCCACCAGTCGCTCTCGCCGCCCGCCAGCTGAGTGCAGGGCGGCACGGAGGCCCAGGGGGGCGGCAGGGAGGGGCGGGGGAGGGTGTCCTCGGCGGGCGCATGCAGCTCCAGCTCGCGCATCAGCAGCGCCGCTGCATCCGCTCCCCGCGGCCGCGGCAACGACTGGTGCAGGAGGGGCGACAGGGGGTGGGGAGGGTGGGGGGAATGAGGGGAGAGACGGTGGGTGTGGGTGGGGAAAGGTGTCTAGAAAGCGATGGTGAAGTGCAGAGAGAGCAAGCAGTGAGAAAGTGGATAGCAGGGAGTCGTGGGTGACAAGGATTGGCGTGTGGGGGGGGAGAAGGCCCGGAGGCGAGGGCAGTGTGAGAGAGAGCATGCAAGAGCAGGAGAGCATGGGAGGAGGAGGGAGGACGTGCACCTGCATCTGCGGAGAGAGCCAGGCCTCTATGGCCTCAGGAGGCACGGAGATAGAGCCCTGTGGGTAGTGCAGCCGCGCCACCATGCCACTCCCACTGCTGCCTCCCCCCCCTCCACTGCCTCCCGCCGCCACCCCACCGCTGCTGCCTGCTGTGGCTGCAGCTGTGCCAGGTGTGGGAGCAGCGGGCACGTGGGTGGGCGGCATGGTGGCGGGCAGTGGTGCTGTCTTCTTGCAGAGCTCCGAGCACACCACAAACAGTGCCTTCACCTGCTCACACACACACACACGAGGGCGGAGGAGAGAGGTGGGGGGAAGGAGCAGCATGGACGCATTTCCCACATGCTCACCTCATTCCAACACACCTTGTACCGCTCCTTGCAGAATCCTCTTCACCCTTACACCCATCCACTCCAGCCCACCTGTTGCTCTGACTCTCCCCTTCCTCCCTCCCTGCTCACCTCCTCCGGGGTGTACCCGAGCCCGCCATTGCCATGCCCCAGCCGCACGTGCCGGTCCTCCATCGACCGCCCCAGCCCTGCCCGCATGCCCCCCCCTGCGCCCTCCGCGCCCCCTCCCACCCCCACGCCCATCCCTCCGGCAGCGCCGGCAGCGGCGCCGGCCTTAGAGGCGAAGGGGGGCGGGCTGCGGCGGCGGAAGACAAGGCAGAAGAACATGAGCTGGCACAGGCGGTGCAGGAAATGTGGGTCCGCTAGCAACCGCACTGCTGGCAGCCCCGAGAAGGCCGAAGGGGACGCCGACGGCAGGTGAGGCGCTGCTGCAGGGGGGTGTACAGCACCTGCTGCTGGGGCGCCCGCTGATGCTCCTGCTGATGCAGATGTTGCTGCGCCGGCACTACCAGCACTGGCAGCGGCAGCAGCGGATCCAGAAGCAGTAGCTGCAGTGGCTGCTGTGGCAGGTGCGGCGGCTGGTGGCGCAGCAGCGGGCGGGGGGGTGGGGACAGAGGAGGCGGAGGCGTGTGCGTGGGCGGTGAGGGTCTTGAAGAATGAGAAGTAGCGGCGCAGGCGCGTGAGGAAGTGCGATACCAGGTCCAACACCGAATCCACGTACGCCTGCACGGGGAGAGGAGGGCAGGCGAGGCCAGGAGAGGGCCATGGGCGAGGGTTGCTGATTGGTGGAACACATGAATGTGCATGTGGGTCAGGAGGTCAGGGATGTGGAAAGCACATGGCGCCACACAGAGCATGGCATGAGATGGCATGGCAAGAGTGTGACGAGGTGAGGGCCTTACATGGATGGTGGGGATGAGCGCAGGGTCGACGGACATGGCATCGTTGCCGAGCTGGGAGAAGGTCTCAGCGGAGGCGGTCCAGGGCGAGGGGATGAGCGTGGCGGGGTTCACGAGCGCCGACTCTATGGCGCCCCCCAGCACCTCCAGCAGCACGCGCGCCTGCACGTCCAGCATCACTGCGCGCACGTCCGCTCCCCCCACGCCCTCCAACACGCGGCACTTGAGACGGTCCAGCTCCTGGTGGGTGCAGCAGGAAGGCGTGCATGTGGCGATGGCGCAGGGACAAGGGGACGGCGGGGTTTGGTTGAGGGTGGGTTGATGGGACGGGGTGCACGGGTGATGGTGGCTCAATGCACGAGGGATGGAAACTGAGGATGCGAAATAGATTGCGGCACAAGGAGATAACGAGGCAAGGATGGAAAGGGAGAGGAGTGAAAAATGTGGGGAAGTGTGGTGGGGGAGTGGAGGGCGGGAGAGGGGGGGTGCTGACAGTGAAGTAGTGCAGGCGCAGCGAGGCATCGGGCAGCGCATGGAAGTCCGCGTCCAGATGGGCCAGCAGCGACGTGCTGCGCACTGCACCACACCACACCGCACAGCACAGCACAGCACAGCACATGTGAAAGGACGGGACGGGCACATGGTGAGACAAGCATTTGGGCAGAGACATGTGCCGATCATGGCAAGCAGCTTGTTGGTGAATTGAATAGCCCACCTGGCGATTGCGGTGCGCCTGCAGTGGCAGAGGCGGCAGCATCCCACCACGACACGCCACTCACCCACGCCCACTGCACTCTGATAGGCTCACACGGCAATGGGAAGGCACGCAGCGAGGGAGAGGGATTGGGAACGGTGCAGAGGAGCTACAGCATGCAGCAACACATGCACATAGGCATCCCTGCCTCACCTGTCAGCCACATGTCGCTCCCATGATGCAACCCCCTCTCGCCCCTCCCTCCCTGCCTTCCTCTCCTTCGCCACACCCTCCCCTCCCACTTGTCCGTCCGCTGCCCCATTCTCCCCCATGCCATCCGCGCGACTGGCCTCCATCCCCACAGCAGCAGGTGTCACAGGCCGTGAGGGCGCACGAGTGTCAGTGGCAGGGGGGGCAGCAGCGGGCGCAAGGGGCACGTGGGGCACCTGGGATATGCGCACGGAAACCTGCTGCTGCTGCATGGGGGTGGTCCAAGCAGTGGCGATGCAGCACGCCGAGGGGGAGAAGGCGAGCGGGGGCGGCGTGGAGAGCGGGAGGGGGGAATGCGGTGGGGGGTGCACAACGGAGAGCAGGTGGAGGGAGGGGTTGGCGAGGAGAATGATGGCGGAGCAGGGCACGTGCGAGGAAGAGGGCATGGAGGGGGGGAACGCCGAGGGCCAGGTGGGAGGTGAAAGAGGGTCGTTAGGCGAGGCAGTGATGCGTGCATGGCCAGTGGCACCAGTGACAGCAGCGGGTGTATGGACGTCATGGGATGCAGCAGTCACGTCACATGGAGCCCCGTCAACCGCTGCACTGGTGCCATCCACCTGCTGCTGCAGCCGAGGTGTGAACGCGCTGTGCCAGCTCACTGCGAGCTCAGCGCCTGTGGGAGAGAGCTGGAGGGCAATGGCAGGCATAGCGTGCGAGGGCGTGGGGGCTGGAACAAGGGCAGGTGAGGCCGCAGGCAAGGCCGCAGGCAGCGCAGCAGCGATTGGTGATGCTGATGATGACGGTGCGGGGGCGGCAGCAGCAGTGCTCCCTGTGGGTGCAGTGCAAGGAGTGCCTCTGGCAGGGCGGTGAAGGGCAGAGGGCAGGAGAGCAAGGTCAGGGGAGGAGGAGGCGAGGTGCCAGGTGAAGGTGGGGGGGCAGGGGAGGGCGGAGTGCGGTGCAGGTGTGGCGTGGGCGGCTGCTAGGGCGTCGAAGATAGGGTGCACTGGGGGAGGCGCTGACTGCTGGCGCAGGTGCCAGCGCTGCACGGTGAGAGAGAGCGTGCAGAGCGCGGAGGGAGCAGTGCTGGTGGGCGCTGACAGAGGAGCGGCGTGCGAGAGAGGCGGTGCTGACGCGGCTGCTGGTGGCGCATGCAGTGAGGAGCCGTGGACTTGCTTGGCTGCACCGGTACAGGAAGCACGGAAGAGGGTGGGGTGTGCGGCAAGGGAAGGGGTGGAGGTTGATGAATGAGGGAGTGTGGGGTGAGAAAGGTTATGCATGGAAGGGTTGTGGCGGCATGAGTGGGCTATGCCACACAGTCATTGCGCACACGAGAGCAATTACGCAAGTAGGGAAGTTGGAGGAGGGAGAGCAGGGTCAAGAATTCACCCTTGAATGAGTGAGGCGAAGGGAAGCACTCACCAACGGCCACTGCCACAATCACCGTTGCCACACAGTCCCCTTCCTCCTTCCCACCTCCCCCATTGCTATCCACCACCACTGCCAACACCTCCCTCCTCTCTCTCCCACTCTCCTCCCCTCCTCCACCACTCTCCCCAACTGCCATTCCCCCCTCCCCCCCAAGTCCCAGTTCCGCCACCAACCTGCCCTCCAGCCACACCCCTCCCCCGTCCCTCCCCCCATCCCCCATCCCTTTCCCCCCCAATCCCCCCGCCTGCGCCCCCCTGAGCAGCAAAGCTGCAGCGATGGGGTTTAGGGCTGGGGACGAGAAGGGCGAGGGGGAGAAAATGCTGATGGGGGAGGCGAGGGGAGCGGAGGAGGGGGAAGGGGGAGTGTGGATATGGAAGAGCAGGCAGGAGGAGGGTGAGGCGCTGGGGACGAGAGCGAGGGTGAGCGAGTGGGCGGGGCCTGCAATGCTGACATGCGCTGAGAGCACACCACCAGGGGGCAGGGGGAGAGAGGCGGGGGGGGAGGAGAGCCAGAGGGGCTGGGGGGAGGCGGGGGGAGGGGAGGGGGACGGGGCGGAAGAGGGGAGCGAGGAAGAGGAAGGGAGTCCTGGGTGGGGTGTCTGTGGTGTCTGTGCGCTGTGGGTGGGTGGCGAGGAGGAGGAGGAAGGCGGGAGGTGCGAGGTGGAGCGCCAGAGCAGCAGCAGCGTGTTGGGCTGCAGCACGAGCGCCATGCACGGCAGAGAGCAGCGCGGCCAGTGCGCTGACAGAGGGGGGAGAGAGGGGAGCAGAGGAAAGGACCGGGTGGGAGATGGAAGGGGAGTGAGGGGAGAGAGGGACACGTGCCATACACGAGAAGCCACGAGACAACACGGCATGCAGCAAGGCATGCAACAAGGGCATTGGCAAGCGCAGAGGAGGGAGGGTGGCAGGGCAGGCAGGAGAAGGCATGGCGGTGTACCGGGGGAGAGGGCACGGGGCTGGAAGAAGCGGTCGTGGAACGACCCCGGCTGCACTGATGCTGGCGCCTGCAGCGGCGGCCACGTGTACTGTTTTCATTGGGTCGTGGCAGGGTAGGTGTCACGCAAAGGGAAGGAAGAGGTTATTGGGGGGCGAGCGAGGGGGTTGTTTGCTCGGCGAGAGCAATGACACAAGGCAATGAAGGCTCCCTGCTTGTCCACCCCTGCCTGCCCATCCACCCACTCCCATCACGCTTGCTCTCCCCGCACAACCCACTCCTCCCAATCACTTCCTCAATTCCCCCATTCCGTCAACCCCCTCCCCCTTCACCCCAGTGGTCGTACGAGAGGCGGGGCGGAGAGCCATTGCATGGCAGCGACGGGCGCGTCCAGGTGCCAGTGCGCCTGCGCCTCCCACCGGTTCACACACCGTGCCACGTTCGCCGCTCCCTGCCACACGCAGCACAGGCGGGATGAGCACGGGGGGTGGGCAGGGGTGCAGCCGGGGCAACGGAGGGGGAGACGAGAGGGATGGGAGGGATGGGAGAGATGAGCAAGGCAGAAGCCGTCCAGAGGCGTGCATGGCGTGTGTGAGACGGGTGATATGGTAGCGCCACAGAGCCATGCGTGCATGCGCGTTTGTGGGTGACCACGGCATGGAAGGGCATGTGTGTGTGTGTGTGCGTGCGTGCGTGCGTGCGTGCGTGCGTGCGTGCGTGCGTGCGTGCGTGCGTGCGTGTTGTGTGTGTGTGTGTGTGTGTGTGTGTGTGTGTGGCTGTGACAGTGACGTACCGTGCAAGGCTGCGCCCACACGGACACATGCGAGGGTGCAGAGAGCACAGCGAGTGCACGGTCGCACGAGGGGGGCGACCACGCCACTGCTGTCACCTCACGCCCCGGCATGTCTGGCACGATGGAGGGTGGGGGGTGGGGCCGTGTGGGGTGGAAGGGACGACAGAAGGGAGTGGCGGGAACAGATGTGGGGTGGCCATGAGGAGGCACAGGAGATGCAAGAGGCATGCACGGGTTGGATGCATGGGGAGACAGTGGCTCGTGCATGCTGCATGGCGTATGGTGGGAAGGGAAGGTGAGGGTGAGAGGCATGGATGATGGCAGGAAAGCATGAGCGGTGACATGTGACATGGAACCCCACACAGCACAGCATGTGCACACAGCCGCAGGCGGAGAGGCAGGGCGGCAAGTGGATGTGCTGGGCAGGAAAGCGGCAACAAGACATGTGCAGCTAGTCAGCCAGGAGTGGGAGAGGGAGAGGCGCGAGCAAGGTGGGGGGTGGGAGGCTGACCTGCGGGGAGCTTGAGCATGCAGTGGTGCAGCGGGCGGTCTGGGTCCAGCAAGGCCACCGGCACAAACACAGGTGGCGCTCCTGGTGGGGCTCTGCGGGTGGACAGGGGGAGGCAGGGGGAAGAGGGGAGGGAGTGGGGCGAGGGGAGGCAGGGGGAAGAGGAGAGGGAGGGGAAATACAGGTTGAGAGATATGGGTGGGTGATGAGAAAAGGAACAGTGGAGGGGAATGGAGAGACGAAGAGTGCGTGGAGTGTGAGGGGAGAGGGATATGGCGAGGTGAGAGGTGAGGAGTGATGCAGCATTTACTTGATGTTGGGCTGTGCAGGCGCTGTTGGGAAGGCAATGAGGTTGGACTTGGGACACCATGCCATGGGGCTGCTCACACCGCACATGGACACACACACACACTCACATGCACACACACACGCACATGCGCACACACACTCACACAGACACACACACGCACATGCACACACACACGCGCATGCGCACACACACAAGAGAGACAAGGGAAGCAAGGAAATTTACAGCGAGAGAAGTGGGAGATGGGTGAAGTGCAAGGCACGGATGCATGGTGGCAAGTTGTGAGCGAGCAGCATTGGGGAACGGGAAGGAGGGTGGGAGGGAGCAGTGTGCATGGAGGTGTGGGCGTGGCTGTACCATGTGAAGGTGGAGCGTTGCACGTTGTCCCCCCATTGCAGCACAGCACCACCTCCCGTGTGTGCTGAGGCCCGGCGAGTGCGTGCATGGGCAGCCAGCAGCGCGGGCACACTGAGAGCTATCTCCACCACCACTGCATCCGCCTCCGACCCCGCCTGCTCTTCCTCCTCCTTCTCCCCCTCCTGCTGCTCCTCTTTCGCCTCCTCCTTCTCCTTTTCCTCCTTGTCCTCCTTCTCCTCCTTTTCCTCCTTGTCCTCCTTCTCCTCCTCCTCCTTCTCATCTTTCTCCCCTTTCTCGTCCTTCTCCTTCTCCTTCACCTCCTCTTTCTCCTTCTCCTCCTCCTTCACCTCCTCTTTCTCCTTCTCCTCCTCCTTCACCTCCTCTTTCTCCTTCTCCTCCTTCACCTCAGCCTTCTTCTCCTTCTCCTCCTCCTTTTCTTTTCCCCGATCGTCGTTCCCTGTCTCCACCATCGCTGTCTGCTCGTCCTTCTCTGCACTCACTTGGGTGTCGTGCCCATCCGTCCCTGCACGCCCCTCAGGTGCGTCTGCCCCTTCCACCCCATCCATCTGTGCAACACCACACACCCCTGCATCCTCCTCTTCTTTTCGCTCTTTCGGCTCCTCCTCTTGCTGCTGTTCTTCCTGTTTCTGCAACGATGGCTGTTCTTTCTCCTCTTGCTGCTTTTCTTGTTGCTCCAAAGGTTCCTGCTTCTTATCCTCTTGCTGCTTTTCCTGTGGCTGCAATGGTTGCCCTTGTGACTGCTGCTGCAACGCTTGCTGTTCCTTCTCTTCTTGTGGCTGTGCAGCCTGTGTCTGCTGCTGTTGTTGCCCATCTGCTTGCTTCTCAGCTGCTGCCACCTGCTCCGCCCCTCCTTTCTCCGCCTGCACCTGCACCCCACCCTCCTGCACCTGCTTCGCTCCAGCCTCATGCATTGCGCTCTGCTGCCTTACTTGCCCATCTCCCTGAGTTGCTGCCTCGTCTGGAGATGCCACGGCCAGTGGGGCACTCACCTCATGCACCGCACCTGCCTGCTCCACCGCACCCCCACCATGCATCTCCACTGCCGCCTCTACTGCTGTCTTCCCCTCCTCCACCTGCAACTGTGTGTCTGTTTGCCCAAGCAGCACCACACCAGAGACCTTCCCCGCTCCCTGCTCCTGACTCCTCTCCTCACCCACGCCATCCGCATCACCACCCTCCTTCACACGCGTGCCCTCCTCACCCCCTCCCCCGTGCGCGCTATCCCCTGCGGCCTCACGCACACCACTGCCCTCCCCAACGTGCGCCTCACGCGCCCCAGCATCCGTGCTCTGCCCCTGCACTCCCACCGCCTCCCCTCCCGCCGCCACCTTCGCCTGCTCTTCCTCCCCCTTGCCCTCCTCTTCCCTCTTGCCCTCTTCTTGCCCTCTACCCTCCTCTTTCCCCTTGCCCTCCCCTTCCCCCTTGCCCTCCCCTTCCCCCTTGCCCTCCCCTTCCCCCTTGCCCTCTCCTTCCCCCTTGCCCTCGCCTTCCCCCTTGCCCTCCTCACTCCCCTTTCCCTCCTCAACCCCCTTGCCTTCCTCACCCCGTTTTCCCTCTTCACCTCCTTTTCCCTCCTCACCCTCTTTTCCCTCCTCACCTCCTTTTCCCTCCTCACCTCCTTTTCCCTCCTCACCTCCTTTTCCCTCCTCACCCTCTTTTCCCTCCTCACCCCCTTTTCTCTCCTCACCCCCCTTACTCTCCTCACCTCCCTTGTTCGTCTCGCCACCACTGCCACCACCCTCGCCTGTGGCACCATCTGCTACCACGCCACGCTCCTCCTCGCCCCCGCCCTCCTCACCCGTCTCGCCCTGCCTTGCACCCTCGGTGCCTGCCTCACATGCCCCTGCGCCCTCCTCGCCTGCCTGCCCGCTCGCCATGCTCTTTGCCTCGCCTCCCTCAACCTTCTCTCCCTGCTCTGCCCCTGCACCCTCACTCGCTCCCTGCTCCACGCCTGCTACTCCACTCGCCTCACCCCCGTCACCACCCTCCTTCCCCACAGCATCTGCGGCTCCGTCGTCCGCCTTCCCCATCTCCTTGTCAACCCCTTCCTTCTCCTCGCCCCTTTCCTTCTCAGGCCCCGCCACCTCTTTCCTCTCGTCACACGCGCTTCCCTGCCCCTTCCCCTCGCCCTCCATCGTCCCCGCGTCCAAACTGACCTCCCTCTCTGCACCTCCCGTCTGCTTCTCCTCCTCGCTCCCCCCTGCCACGCCTGCACCACTCCCCTCATTACCACCCTTATCACCGCCCTCCTCCGCCCCACCACCCTCTGCCAAGCCCACCTCGCCCTTCCCCTCCACTGCACCCCCCTCCGTTTTCCCCTCTCCCTCCCCATCCGTCCCACCACCCTCACCCCCCTGCACCGCCCCCTCACCACACTCTTTGTCCGCACCGCCATCCTTCCCATCGCCTCCCTCCCCCTCTGGCCCCCCACCAGCCGCTTGCAGCCCCGCTCTCGCCGCATGCCCCCCTGCACCCACTCCCTCCTCACTCACCCCACCCACCCTATCCCCTGCACTCACCATTTCCCCGCCCTCTGCCTCCGCCCTCCCCTCCGCCCCCGCCCCCGCCCCCGCCTCTGCTCCCGCCCCCGCCCCTCCCACAGCCCCATCAGGCCCCTTCCCCTCCGCTCCTTCACCCCCCTGCACTGCTTCCCCCTCCACCCGAACCCCCACCGCTGCCGCCTCCTCGCCCACCTCCCCCTGCGCTCCCCCCTCCGCGGGCGTCATGCCAACACAGCTGTCGCCTGCCCGCCCCTCGTTTGCCTCCTTACTCTCCCCTTCGACCCTCTCTCCGCCCTCGGCCCCCCCTGGGCCCCCCTCATCCGCTCCAGCCGCTTCAACAGCGTCCCCCACCCCTTTTTCTTCATCCAACTCTGTCTCTCCTTCCCTTATCGCCCGCACGCCTGCTTCCCCTGCAGCATCGTCCCCTCCTGCACCACCTGCAGTCTCCGGCACATCATTGCTCGCCTCTCCTCCTTTCTCATTCTTCGCTTCCTCCCCCTCCTTCCCATCCTTCCCTTCCTCCTTCTCTTCACCCTGACCTTCCTCTGCCCCTTTTCCTTCCGCCATGTCCGTGCCCCCTGCCCCGCCATCGCGCACAGCACTGCCACCACGCCCGCTGTCGCCCTCCACCCGCGCTCCCGTTTCTCCCTCCTCGCACCCTCCCTGCCCCGCCTCCTCCTCACTGCTCTCAAGCGAAATCACCACGCCTTTCTTCCCCTCGCTGCTCTCCACCGATATCACCTCCGTAACTCCCTCCGGTTTCTCCCCCTCCCCAACAACCTCCTTCGCCTCGACATTCTCCGCGCCTTCCCTCGTCAGGTCCCCTGTGTCTTCGCCCGTGCCAACTCCCACGCCTTCTGCCCCTTCCGCCTCAGCTTCCCCGCCCGTTCCCGCCAGCAAAGACTGCGCTTCCGCTTTCCCGCCACTCTCGTCCGCGGGAATCACCTCACTCTTCCGCTTCCCGCCAGCGTCCTCCCCCTCCTCATCCATGCGCCCTTCCCCCCTGCTGCGATCCTCCGCTTCTCGCGACGGATCCCCTGCGACTTGCCCGCCGGCATCGACGCCGTTTCCCCCATTCACCGGTACCACCACTTGCGCCACTACCGCTTCCGCGCTCCCCGCGGACTGCGGAACCTCGTGCGCGCCAGCTGCTGCCGGATTAGCTGCTGCGGAACCTACTGCTGCATCCTCTTGTGCCACCGCGACCGCCGTCCCCACGCCCGATTCTTCCACTAACTCCGCATTTCCCGCTTGCGGAGCGGCAGGCACGCTGTCCGCCAATGGGCCGGCGGAAGGGGCAGCGGCGGCGTCACTTGCATCGCGGGAGTCGGCGGAGGGCACGGCAGGGTCCCCGCTGGCGGGTTCCATTCCACGGCGCGGTGCTTGGAGGCGGTCGACGCACTAGGGGGAACACCGCGACGGAGAGCGGAAGCTCGGGGTCCGAAACTCGACGTGCTACGGCATGGTGGAGTCTAGAACCTGCGACTTGCGCTGCTGATTTGATTGGCTGACTTTATGATGAATGCTTTGGGATAAAACAATTTCCCATTCATTTGTGATCTCGTCTGTGCAAGTCGAGAAAAAGTACAGTAAATCGACCACATGTGACCATAGGTTGAGTGCGGATGCAGTGAAACGGCTAATCTGAAAACGAAAGACGTTATACAGAAGCATAGGGCAACCCCACAGCAGCAGTTTTCCTCGGAGCCCATGCACCACCTCCACGTGTTCGATCGCAGCACATCCAGTCCACTCCACGAGTCGCCATGGACTCTCACGGCCCGATAGGCGACTCGCCTCGACGCTTCAGTTTGAAATACTTCACGCAGCCACCATAGTCGGGAATTTTCGCTGGGTCTACGAGTCACGACGACTTGCTCGCCTTGCTCGTTCGTCCCATCGCTCCCTGTCTCGATAGCTCTCTTACTCTAAGTCCGCTCTTGGTGCATCCACTCCCGCGGCACCGGTGACTGTTGCCTGTCGCGCGAGCATCGCCCAGCATGTGGGGCATTGAGTGGTCTCTCAACCGAGTTCTCAACTTCGTCGTGCCGCCGCTCGGCCTGCTGCTGCTACTCGCATGGGCGCCCGTGCTCTTCGCGCTCAACTATGCGGTCCGCCTCGTCCGTTCCTTCTTTTCCATGAGCGCCGCCCGGGATAAGACCGTGCTCGTAACAGGGGCGTCGTCGGGTATCGGTGAGGTGCGACGTTGCTGAAGTCGCTAAGCGTCATCTTTCTAGTGGTGCTATGGGACTGAGTAGTCATTATGCTTACCTTGTTCTTCTGCCTCGCCCCCTACCACCGTGCAGCATATTGCGTATGAGTTCGCCCGCCGCGGCTCTCGCCTGGTGCTGTGTGCCCAGAGGGAGGGACGGCTGCGCGAGGTGGCCCGGCGGTGCGGCAACATGGGCGCGGCGGACGTGGCAATCGTGGCGGGGGACGTGTCCAAGGAGGACGACTGCCGGCGCATGGTGGACGCTGCTATCACCAACTTCAGAAGCTGTCAGCATCCCTCCTCGCTGCTGCTCACGCTTTGTACTCCGCGATGGATTCATCTCACACTGTCTCTGTTTCACATCCTGTGATGCATCATGCAGTGGATTATCTGGTGTGCAATGCGGGGATCGGCCATGCCTGCCTCTTTAAGGATGCTCAAAGCATAGAGGGGATGAGACAAGTCATGGTCAGTTGCACCGTGATAGTCAGGGGATTTTTTGTGCTGAAGTTTTCTAGTTTCTGTCAAGATTGATGTTGCGTTTCTCTTGCAGGATGTGGATTTTTTTGGCAGTATGTGGATCACTCTGCATGCCCTGCCCTACCTGCGAAGGGCTCGAGGCCAGATCCTTGTGAATGCCTCCATTGGCGCTTTCCTGCCCATGCCTCGCTTCAGTATCTACAATGTGAGTGCATTCAAGGGTCGCAAGGTGGAAAATGTTGCAGTACAGTTCTGATCTGTGTATGCTGCCATTTTCCTGCAGGCTTCTAAGGCAGGATTAACTCAGTTCTTTGATACGCTTCGGACAGAACCAGTTGGGGCAGATGTTGGCATTACAATTGGGTTTCCCGGTGCTACAGCATCTGAGCTAGCAGCTGGAAAGGTGCTGGATGAGCAAGGCAGAATGGTGGTGGATCAAGATCGGCGTGATGTAAGCACTTCTTTGCTGTTTTCCTGTGGTGAGGTTTTTACAGTAACTGAATCTTGGCCCCTTCTTTGGTGTGGCAGGCGCTCTTAGGGCCCCAGCCCATGCTCCGTCCTGATACAGTGGCCAAAGCACTGGTTGATGGAGCATGTTGTGGTGCCCGCTATGTCCTTATACCTACATGGTTTTCAGCAGCTCTGCTGTTTCGCCTGTTCGCACCAGAAGCCTTGGACTTGTCCTTGCAGATGATGATGCTTCCTCTCATGAAAGGGGCTACTCCGATCGCCAAAGGCTTTATGGACGTTACTAAGGGTAGGCAGTATTTGTATCACCCTCCTGCAACCAGCCAGGAGGAAGCAGAAGCTGCTGTGTACAGGAAAGGAGAGTGACTTTGGTGTTAGTAGCGGAGGAGAAAGTAGCATCTACTGTTGTACTAGGCAACAAAGTTGTGAACACTGAAATCCCGCTAGCCTAAATTTGGGATTCTGCTACAATCAAAACTGATGACTTGGTTTCACATACACCTGATCTAATTCCCACACGGACATGTTGATCATGCCCAATCCGCCAATTTTATCTGAACACAAAGCACACAGTAGAGCAAACGTCTCACGTCAGTGCTGCAACAACTGTTAGGACGAAGGCCGAGAAGTTGAAGAAATTACAAATAGTGACACCCCTCCCACCTGCTGGTCACAGCCAAAATCTTCACCGTGACTCTGGTGGGTAAAACGTTACCAAAAGTATCAATTCTTTCTGCTCCGATTCGTTTAAATCGATATTAACGTCTGGCGTCAGCCTACACTGGTAACCAAAATGATGTAACCAGCCCCATCGTATTATTATTCTCAGCATCGTGGCCAAAAGCGACTTGGGATAGACTTCATACCTCTGCACAAGTTCTGTCGGCAGCTGCCGTTCAGAGGTTAAGCTCCACGGGCAGTTTATCGATGCAGTCAAACCACGGCCCCTTGTTCTGCTCCGCCTTCAATGTCCGCAACGCGCGCCACACCGCACTGTTGCATTTGAATCCGCTGCCGAACGCGATCTGCCACACGCGGTCACCCCGTCGCACGCGTCCCTTAGCTTCAGCATACGACAGCTCGTACCAAATGGAGGAGGATGAGGTGTTGCCGAAGCGATAGAGGGTCATCCGCGAGGGCTCTAGCTGGTGCTTCTTCAGCTGCAAGTTTTTCTCCAGCTCATCCAATACAGCTCTGCCGCCAGCGTGGATGCAGAAGTGTTCGAAGGCGAGCTTGAAGTCTGGGATGTACGGCTTCATCTTCACACGGAACAGCTTGCGAGCCATGAGCACGGCGAAGAAGAGCAGCTGCTCCGAAAGTGGCAGCACGAGCGGGCCGAGAGTTGTAATGTTAGTCTTGAGGGCATTCCCTGCAATAGCCATGAGATCGCTGGAAAGAGAGACCCCGATCTTTCCTTCGTCGTCCTCCTGCTGGTACACGCACCGGTAGCTCTTGTTATCCGCACCCATGTGCGTGCGGACCGTGTGAGTCAACTCATACTTCGAGCGGCGGCGATCTTTACTCTTGTTGGACAGAAGCATGGCGGCGCCGCCCATACGGAAGATGCAGTTGGGGATGAGCATCGAGCGATCCTTGCCGAAATACCACTCAGGCGTAAGAGTCTCCATGCTCATGACAACAGCATACGTGGAACCATGCACTTGGAGAAGATCCTTCGCGAGATCAACCGAGATCACACCAGCACTGCAGCCCATGCCACCGAGATTGAAGGACCGGATATCACCACGCATAGCGTACTTGTTGATGATGGCCGCGGACATAGACGGCGTTGGGCAAAACACGCTACAGTTCACCACGAGAACTCCAACATCACGGGGCTTCACGCCAGTCTTCTTAAAGAGCTCATCCAGGCACGCGAACATGACCATTTCTGCTTCCAAACGAGACCCGGCGAGAGATGGGTATGGAGGATTCTCGTGAAGCCCGGGAGGCAAACACGTGTCCTGGCCGAGCCCTGACCGTGTGACGATCTTGCGCTGGAACTCGAGACTCGCCTGGTCAAATACGCCTGATTCGCTCGAGTATTTCATGAAGGTCTCCAGCGAGACCTTGAGATGGTCAGGAGGGCGGTAACAAGCGAAATCGACGAGATACAGGGGGCGGGGACGGGAGAGAATGAACACCGTAGCGCCAAAAACAACTGCAGCACAGCACCCGACCACGCTGACCAGATTCAACTGCAAGTGCTGCCAGAGTTGGAGAAGATCGTCGGGCCGCATCCGAAGGACCTCAACACCGACGGAGATGAAGAGGGGAATGAGCAACAGGGGCACGCCATGAGTGATAAGGTAATGGTAACCCAGCTTCACATGGCTTAAATTAACACTCTGGAGAAAATCCGGCAGGACACGGCGATTAACTGGTATGGACACTGCATCAGGAGCGGGCTTGGCTGGCAACAAAGGCTGCTTCTGGTCGGGATTACGATTGGGGGCTTCCATCATGAGAAACTAACCCAAAAACGAGTTAGCTCCGCGTTTGTGAAGGGAACTCTAGCATACTGAAAGGGCTTACAGAAGGCGTAGATATGGATGGAACAGGACAGGAGCATCAGGGTGCTGCTGGCTGAATCCAACTTGAAACGGACGGATGCTGTCACGGGGCAAGGTGGATCGAGAAAGAAGGGCTGTAAGGGCGGGAAACCAGAGCGCAAGATAGAATGCCACGTGTAACGTAGATCTCAAGGTGGCTGGTCTGTGAAACAATGGGGGTTTCGCGGTCACAAACGAGGCTCGGCTGAGCGGGAATATCGCCTCCAAGCCGGAACTTGCGGTGGCTAACCACCTGCGACTCGTGTGGCGAGCCAGATTGACTGCTTTGGTGACGAGCAAACACGTTTGGTGACGAGTGAACACGAAGCCGTTCGAGCCTAACTTTCCGGCTCGAAACAGCCAGTGTGTCAGACGTGCTAGTTTGGTCGAATCGTGGAGCAAGCAAGAGGGTGAAATTTCCCTAGCAAAATCGGCAAGGTACACTGGTTACCGTACTGTTACTTATGCAACTCAAAACAGATCAAAGGTGCTCAACAAAACTAATAGCTAAGCCCACAAAGAGAGCCAGCCTCCAAACGTGTGTGCAAATTATTGGGTGAAAACAGAGAGGTTCCAATCTGTAAGGGAAAACACTCCTTTTATTACGGGATTGTACTGCATTGCGTACAACCTGAACTTTCGAATGTGCCAGCTTG